AATCTTGGAAAAAGATCAACCATCCACATCAATAAATTCAGACAAAAATATAGTTATAAGACAGATAAAAATAATACAGCTAAAATGGCTAATAAAAGCTACGTTAAAAATTGGAAAAACTTATCATAAAACTTTTACATCTCTAGTAGATTCAGGAGCAGATTTAAATTGTATAAGAGAAGGTTTAATACCAACACAATATTATGAAAAAGCTGTTCAAACCTTAAGAGCCGCAAACTCTAATAAATTAAAGGTAAAATATAAACTTTCAAAAGCTTATATTTGTAATAAGGGAACTTGTTTTAAAAATACTTTTATTTTAACCCCCGATATAAGTGAAGAAATGATTCTAGGAACACCTTTCTTAACTCAAATATACCCATTCAAAGTAACTTCAGAAGGAATACAATTTAAAGAATTGTTATTTGAATTTATAAAACCAGCAACAACAAAAGTAATACATAATGTAAAAGACATAATTGAAGACAATTTTCTAACTAAAATACAAGCAAAAACCGAACAAATAAAATATCTAAAAAATGAAATAAAATATAAACAGATTGAAGAAAAATTACAAGATCCAAAAATTAAAAAAGAATTTGAAAAACTTGAAAAGGAAATAATAAAAGAAATATGTTCAGATGTTCCTAATGTTTTTTGGGAACGAAATTATTTTGAAATTGAATTACCATATGAAGAAGGATTTCTAGAAAAGAATATTCCTACAAAAGCAAAACCAGTACAATTAAATAAAGAAACTTTAGAATATTGTAGAAAAGAAATTCAACAATTTCTAGATAAAAAATTAATAAGACCTAGTAAATCTCCATGGAGTTGTGCAGCATTTTATGTACAAAATGCTTCAGAAATAGAAAGAGGAGAACCGAGAATGGTAATAAATTATAAACCATTAAATAAAGTATTAAAATGGATAAGATATCCTTTACCGAATAAATCAGAATTAATAAGTAGAATATATAATGCCACAATATTTTCAAAATTTGATATGAAAAGTGGATATTATCAGATAAAAGTAAAAGAAGTAGATAAATATAAAACGGCCTTTGTAGTACCTTTCGGCCAATATGAATGGAATGTAATGCCTATGGGACTTAAGAATGCTCCTACCGAATTTCAGAATATAATGAATACAATATTAAACCAGTATTCCAAATTTGCACTAGTCTATATAGATGATGTGCTAATATTTTCAAAATCAATTGAACAACATTTGAAATCTAGATCTAGATATGAGAATTTCACAAAAATGGAATTAACAATCACATATCCTAATTTTTAGAAATTCAAGAACGATACCTATTTATTTAGGAAATTAATCAATTACCTAATCCTTGTTTATGATAAAGGTGAGTTATGAGAAAATATTTTAGGCTATAAATCCATAGAAAAAAGAGAAGTAATGAAAAATGAGCTAAATAAGTATTAAAGTTATTTCATGTAAGATCTTTCTTTTCATTTCTCTTCTTTCTTTTTTGTTTTTTCTTTTTGTGAAGCTAATGTCAAACAACTTAACGGGCATCAAAATAACTCAAAACATTTACAAAACCTTGGAGTCTCACCCCCATCTTATTTAGAACTATTCTCAAAATAATTTCAAAACTCCTTTTGTGCCTAAGGTTAGAGTGCATCATGCTTTTTTCACTTTAAGTCTTGTAATGAGCTACAAAATCAAAGGAAGGGTTACATAGACTTAAAAGGGGTAATAAAGGGATAAATGCAAGATAAGTCAATTTCGCTAGTAGCTTATAAAGAAAGAAGACCTAAATCATTTCAATAATGCATGTAAAACAACAGGGATAAAAAAGAGTCAAGACAAAACCTAAAGTAATCAGCAACATGAATGCAATCACACAAGAAATGTTGTAACTCTCACAATTTATACATTTAAAAATTCAAAGGAAAGCATGAAAAAAAATTATGCAGAGTATAAAATAATTTTTTTTATATATATGTAGTAAAAAAACATAAAATTAAAAAATACAAAATACAACAAACAAAAACATTAAATTCTAAGTTGAAAACAACAAAAGTTTAACTAAAAACAAAAAATTCTTAATACTAAAAACACACCCCTAACACTTGAAATTTACATTGTCCTTAATTTATTTATGCACATAATCCAATGACAAAGACTAGTGCAAATTAAATTAATAGGAGGTAAAACTTTCTGAAAGTGGCTTAACTAAGGAGAGATTCTTCGCATCCTCCGCCACACTTCAAATTTGCATAATCATTGATGTGAACATAAAATGTTCCATATTTAGTATATAACCTTACTATAAAGATGACTAGAAAATAAATCAAAGGACTAACAAAGATCATTCTTCTTGGAGACACAAATCAAATGAAATCATAAAAATTCTATCAAACACAATTAAAGCACAAAATATTAACATGGATCTAATTGAAAAATCATAAATTAAAGATTTTAATCATTAGAATGAATTATAGCAATTGGACATATAATTCAAATTTAACATAAAACTTAAATTCAAGTATCATCTCATTAACAAGAATCTAAATTGAATGAAGATCTAGATCTAGATATGAGAATTTCACAAAAATGGAATTAACAATCACATATCCTAATTTTTAGAAATTCAAGAACGATACCTATTTATTTAGGAAATTAATCAATTACCTAATCCTTGTTTATATTAAATTAATAAATCCTAATCTAATTCAAATATAGATTCAAAAATACAATTCATAATAAAAAAATGAAATTATATGGAAAAAATTTGAGGTTAAATATGTTGAAGATAGGTTTCATAAATGAAAAACTTTGGGCTATCGACCATCGAGTGAGGCCCAACCCACTCTGAAAATCGAGAAGCCTCTTACCAAAAATATCTTGGAAAATATTCCTTCGTCCAAAGAAGAGAAAACTCTATTGAAAAAGCAATTGCTAGATGCTATATCCTCTTTGGGAACAGAATCAGATGAAGAAAAAGAAGATATTGAAGATTGTTATAATATGCAGCTGGCCCAACATCCAGAAGAAGATGAGGAAATTGATTTTGCCAACTTGTAGCAATTAAGTGAAAAGGTTGCCCAAGTAGTGCAAAGAATCCAAGAAAATAATATCAAGAACAATCATCACATTGAAGAAAGTATAAGTAATATTTTGAACAGATTGGAAATAGCTGCAAAAGAAGACCAATTTTGGAATAGTGCTGAAGACTTGTAAAAAATCTGTCCATCTGAGTAAGAAGTCGTGGGTCCCTTGTTTCCCACGTCGCCCAAAAGATGCTTTTGTCTTTTATGTCGGCGGTCTAAAGTAAAGATTCGCCAGTTGTATTTTTTTTTTGTGTCGGCAACCTAAAGTAAAAGGTTTGCCAGTTGTAATCGCTTTTATTTAGATTGTAATACGTGTATGTCTAGGATATGTGTTACTAGTAGAATAGAGCTCGATTCTTTCTCTATAAAAGGCCTCTCATTTAGAGTAGAAGGCACCGCTCTCCTAGAGCCTTAAACTTCTACCTCTCTTTGAGTTTCCTTCATAGCTAAGAACCCTGGCCTCGAGTCTGTAAATCTCTGTAAGTTTAATAAATGATTATATTTTTCGCTGATGGCTATGTTTGGATACAACTGTATACTCATTATATTCTCATAAACTTTTATTTGCATTCTATTTCATATTCTCAACCTATTCTTAAATATTTCGATTTCGAATCTAAAGATTTTAATAATATCATTTATAATTTTGAATATTTTAGAACATTAACAGCTTATCTTGAAGATCTTATTCTTGAATTTCTTTTCTTTTAATTATCCGCTACGCACATTTATGAATATTATGAATATCTATATATATATATATATATAACCCACAAAAATGTGAAGAATTCACTTTGATATATATATATATATATAAAGGAGGGATCCTTTTATGCTAGGAATAAATCTACCTAAACTTACTCCGTTCAATAACTCATATTCTACATCAAATTTCAACAATCCAACCGTTCAATTTAAAATTGTTAATACATAGAACAAATCTGTAAAAAATCTTAAAAATTTAAAAATCATTTAATATTTCATTTTATTAATTAAAATTGATAAATAATCATAAAATTATTTTATACATTGATTCGAATTAATGAAATAAAGTATCAAATAATTTTCAAATTTTTTAAAAATTTTACAAATTTGATCTATACATTAAGAACTTTAAATTGAACAGTTAGATTATTGAAATTTGATATAGAATATAAGTTATTGAACGGAATAAGTCTCCTAAACTTACTCCTGAAATAAAAGAATCTATCCTCATATATTTATATATATATATATATATATAAATATATATATATATA